CCAGGTTTCAGTTACACTCTTAGAAATAAAGGTACTAAAAAGTCACTAGGGTGGTACCCTCAAGGGTACATCTCAGTACCTTTAGTCAGGGAACATATTTGTACCATAAATATGAAATTATACCATTGAAATTATATTTTCAAAGTTGTATTGTCTCCACCACCTCGTCTCTAGGCTTTTTACTTCATTGTTCTGTTTTAAAACGTTGTGATTATGAAAAGGTACAAATACGTATTTTTCACCTGGGACCTTAAAACCTTATGGTCCTTATGGTCCAATTATGTCCAATTATCATCTCAAACCCTTAAGAGTTTACCCAAGTTACAAGACAGGTACCGTCCCAGTAACAGTTCAGTACCTTTTTCTAAGAGTGTATGTCTGAAACTTAGCATGCTTTTTAAATACATCATTTTTTTAATACATTATTTTTTATGAATATATTATATCTATCTCTGCCCTGTGATGGACTGGCGACCTGTTAAGGGTGTTTCCTGCCTTCCAATGAGCGCAGGGATAGGCTCCAGCTCTTACACGACCCAGGAGGATAAGCAGCTTAGAAAATGTGCTTGAATACTGAAACTACATATGGAATCTTCTCAACCCTGATTTCAGCATGTAACTTCGTTAAAGGTGTGCCAAATTTACCCCCCCACCCCCTCCAAATTCTGGCCTCACCCCAGTCTAGTAATATCATTTCTCAAAGCTGTTGTCACATTTATTATTATGAGTAAAGTTATATAGTGATGAGACTAACGCAGTACATCCATCAATAAAGGCAGCATGGAGCTTCTTTTATACAGTGATAGGAAACACAGTAGCTCACAGAAAGCTCCAATTCCCCATGCTGATCCATTTTACTGACCAACATGAGCATATATGTTCACTAAACACTCTAGGGGGCCGATTTTAATCATTTAAAGGGGACAAGATGTTCGCTGATGATATTTTAGGTCTGACAGGGTTGATATATACATATGCAGAGCTCCTAGCTGCATGGTGCTTTGCTTCAGAGGCCTCTATGAATATGAATCTGCTTTTGAAGGGCAGATGCTGCCTGAGCCGTTCCCCTATTGGCTCAGGGCCAACATACCGGTGGTTTGACCTCCAGCTCCACCCCGACTCTCCTGGCCTTGCATTACACAAGCCTGGGAGCTCATAATGATGTGCAGAAGAGCACACAAGGCTCAGTCAGAGCCGTTACTGCTGCCTGTACGAAGGACAGTCTAAGGCCAGGAGAAAAAATAAAAAAAGACCGAGAACCGATCAGAGAAATCACACTGTCACAGAACAGTGACACAGAGGAGACCTACAGAACAGAGAGAGAGAGAGAGAGAGAGACAGAGAGAGAGAGAGAGAGAGAGGGGGGAGACAGACAGGCAAAGAGGAAGAGAAAGAGTGAGAAAAGAAAAAGAAAGAAAGAGAATGAGAGAGAGAAGAGAAAGGAGAGGAGCGAAAGAGAAACAGAGAGAAAGGGAGAGACAGAGCGAGAAACAGACAGAAAAAGTGGGAGAGATGAATAGGGAGAGAGCAAAAGAGGTAGTGAGAGAAATGAAAAATAGAAGTAAGAAAAGAAAAAGAGGGAGAGAGAGAAAGACAGAGAGGGAAAGAAAACTAAACATGACAGAGGAAAAAAAGGAAAATAAAATGAAAAAGAAAGAGGGACAGAAAGAAAGCAATGGCGAACAAAAAAAAGAGTAAGAGAGAGAGTGAGTCTGCAAGTGAGAGAGGAGGACTGAAAAAGGAAACAAGAAAGAGAGATGGTTCGAGAGTGAAGGGGAGAGAGAAAAGATAGAAGGACGGTGAGAGAAAGAAAAACAAGACACTGATGAGAAAGAAATGAAAAAATGAGGACAGATAGACCGAAAAAAGAGAGTGACAGAGAGAGAGAGAGAGAGTGAGTCAGAAACAAAAGAGACAAAGAAAGAAAGAGAAAAAGATAGAGAGAAAGCAAGAAAAAGAATAATAGCTCGAGACAGCGAGGAGAGTGTGTATGAGGTAGAGAGAGAAAGAAGGAGAGAGAGGAAGAGAAAAGGTGATATAAAGAGGGAAGAAAAAGAAAAAACGTTTAAAAAAGTTTGATAGAAAGTTCAAGAAAGAAAGAGAGAAAGAGAGAGAAAGAGTGGAAGACATGCAGAGAGAAACAGATTAATGAGAGAACAAACGAAAGAAAAATAGAGAAAGAGGAACAAGAGAGCAAGAGTCAGAGTAAGAGAGGAGACAATATAGAGAGAATAAGAAAGAGAGAGAAATAGAGAGAAATATAAAGAGTGTAAAAGAGAAAGAAAGAAAGAACGAAAGAAAGAGAAGACTAAGAGAGAGGGAGAGGCAGAAAAGGCAGAGAAAAAGAGGAAGAGAGGAAAGAGAAGACGAGATAAATACAATAAGAACAAGAGCGAGAGAGAGAGAGTGTGTATGATTTAGAGATGAGCGAAAGAAGGAGAGAGGAAGAGAAAAAGTGATATAAAGAGAGAAAAAATACAAAGAATGAGATAAAAGAGAAAGAAAGAGTGTACGATACAAAGAGAGAAATAGAGAGTAAGGAGAGAAAAAACAGAAAAAAAGAAACAAGAGTAAGAGAGGTGACAGTACAGAGAGAATGAGAAAGAGAGGGAGAGATGGAGAGAGGTAAAGGAAGAGAAAAACAGAAAGAAAAATAGAAAAAAATAAAAAAGGAAGAAAGAAAGCAAGAAGAGAGAGAGATAGAGACAGAGAGTAAAAGAATGAGAGAAAGAAAAAGAGAGGAAATAGAGAGAGTACAAGATATGAGAGAAACTAAAGAGAGAAAAATGAGAGAAAAACAGAAAAAAGAAGAAGAGAAAGAGTCAGAGAGAAGACGATGTAGAGAGAATTAAATAGAAGAGAGAAACAGAAAGTGTGAAAGAGGAAAAAAAAGAAAGAAAAACGAGGGAAAGAAAGAAAAGAGAAGACAGGGGGAGACTGACAGAGGGAGAGAGAACCACTGAGAGGTGAAGAGAAGGAGAAACACACAGAGACGTGGAGTCACTGCTGAGTCTGTTCCTCTCTGATTAAACAGGCCTTTGATAAAATAAATCCTCCATTAAAGCAGCATCACCTCTTCCTCATGTAAAGGTAATGCACACTAAGCTAATTGGGTCAGCAAAACAGAAATAGCACAACATGCTTTCTATCTGCAGAGAGAGAATTGATTAGTGTTGCATCTGTGCTGCGGCGCCATTCTGAGATGAAGTAGAGCGCTTATTTTTACTCGGTCATAGTTTTCTGAATACCGTTGCTATCATATGAAGAAGGCCTGAGAGTACGAGTGGGTTTGTAGAGAAGAAGAACATCAGGCAAATAAGAGGGAGCAGGACGGTACCGAGCTTTGTATCTGAGTGGGAGAATTTTGAAATGTATGTTTTCTGAACTTCTTTGCTATATATGAAATTCTTACATATTCATTTGTTCACTATTTGAAAGCACAAGCTTCTTTTGTACATGATATGAATATTTATGACAAGCAGACCAGTAGAAATTTAGAAAACTTCTTTTTGTTTCAATCTCTAAAACACTAGGCTCACTTTTATGTGACTAATCTTAAAGGACCCGTATCATGGAAAAACAGATTTCCCTCACTTTTTTGAAAAAGTTATGAAGTAACACAAACATTTTTAAAGTTTCAAAACGTACTATTTACTCTCCAGTCCATATAGTCCAAATGGTGCAAAAACAGCCTGAATTCACTGTTTCTCTGATGTCTCAAGAACCAACTCATTTACATATATCCACCTATTCCCTCCAGAGAGTGGTGAGGACAGCAGAGAAAATCATCAGAACCCCACTTCTGTCCATACAAGATCTCTACCTGTCACACTGCCACAGCAGAGCCACCAAGATATTCAGAGACCCCTCCCACCCTGCCCATAGACTGCTCAGCCTTCTGCCCTCTGGCAAACGCAGCATGCAGTGCAGGACTGCCAGACTCAGCAGGAGCTTCTTCCCACAGGATAACTCAACTCCCTCTAACAGTACATAACACACTGGCCTATCAGGACTGTTGAACTCCTGAACATACACACAGACTGTCTGATGACATTTATTGGAACTCATATCTTCTACATAAAAAAGCAGCCGTTTTTCTGTGCAGTATTTTCAATGTTCTCATCACTTGAGCACCAGTTTCAGGTTTACATTCCCTGTTACACTGTGCAATACCATCAGAGAACAGTGTGCAATATTTTTTTAAATACATATGTATTTTTTTTCCATATACATATATGTAATGTCTGTCTATGCTGTCTAGTGTGTCTATGTGCATTTGCCTTTATGTTATATTTATGTTATACTTGCACATCAGAGGTGGAGAAACGTAATCTCGTTCAGCTGTGCACTCCTTGTTATATAGTCTGAATGAAAATAAAGTTCACTTTGACTTTGACTATTCAGCTTACAACCGTTTAGCCCCACCTGTTCACACTAAAGTTAATAGGAGTGTTTCAGTGCTGGGGAATCTTTAAAAGCCAGATCTAATATGACAGTAAAGGGATGCTCACTTCCAAGGCCAAACTAAAAATGTCAGCCATGTCAGCTTAAATCTGCTGCTTTTTTCCAGCTTTATGTACAAAAATGACAAAGCAGTGGTAAAAAGTCTGTTTTGTTCCTTCTGTAAAACAACACTGTAAAAACACTACCTTTTCATTCCATTCAAACCATAACAAAATATTTTTCTACTTTAAAACACATGGAATAAAAGTTTACAATCTGCAATTTTTATACAATTTCTCCACTTGATACATGACAATACTTCTATACATATTACATATATTATATAATTAACTCCTTAAATTCTCAGGCCTACTACATCCTAAAGGTTACTATTGCAAGGAAAACAATTCAAACTGAGATATTACAGGGGTGAGGAAATCTGGACCCACCAGCATATCATCACTGTCCAAAAAAGAAAAATCTGGAGGTCTTTGTTGTGATTTAAGGTGGGATTAAATATGAGAAGTGATTGTTTAGAGAAGCAGTCGTGTCTGTACCTGTTTCCTCATGACATCAGTGGCCTGCATGATGCACCGAGGCGGCAGGCCGTGACTGCGGGCCAGGAGGAGAGCCTGCTCCAGAGTCACACTCAGAGTACACCTACAGGACCCGAGAGAGAACAGACACATTACCACTTACTATGGAGCGAGAGAGAAAGAGAGAGAGATACAGAAAAAGGGAAAGATTAGGAGAGGGAGAAAAAGGGGACAGGCAGAATCAGAGGGAGAGAGCGGCAGAGAGAGAGAGAGAGAGAGAGAGAGAGAGAGAGAGAGAGAGAGAGAGAAAGAAAAAAAAGAAAGAAACAAAAAAAGAAAAAAGAAAGAAAGAGGGAAAAAGAGAAGAACAGAAGAAAGGTATGGAGAAAAAGAAAAAATGAGATGGGGAAATAATGAGAAAAAGAGAGAAAACATTTCTATATACATATACACACACACACACACACACACACACACACATATATACATATATAGAGAGAGATTGAGAGAGAGAGAGAGAGAGAGAGAGAGAGAGAGAAGAGAGAGTTGAGAAAAATAGAGACAGGACAAGACAGATCCCTTTTATTAATAGCCATTAAGGAAAAGTGGAGAATCTGAGATAAATAACTTTCACTCTGATAAAAGCCAAAACTATCAGGAGGCTGAGTTTAAAACACTGAGGTTGACGTTTATATCCGGAGCTGATCCTGGATCTGTAAAGCACTGCCCTCAGCAGCCTGCTGAACATTCAGCACTGTATTCCTCTCTGAATAAAGCCAGTGACAACATGTCGTTTCTGATTTAGAGAACATGTGTCTGCCACCTCACTTCCATTAACGTTTTCCACAACAGCTGAAGGACACTCAGGAGCTCTCTCACTGTCGCTTCAATACAGACCGTCCACCAGCCCAAAAAACACTTATGTCCCCAGAGGCCCCCTGCAAACATCCGGCTCTCAGACGAGCAGGAGACGGAGCGCAGCAGAGCGTGGCTGAGGAGAGTGAGGAGAATACAGCTCCAGCTTTATACACACATACAGCTCCACACATGTCTGCTTGCTCTCTCTTTCATGTGTTGGCTTCCTCAAAATGGCAGTTTGTGGCATAAACAAAATGAAAATCTATGATATTTCAGCTTTTTACACATCACATAAATGAAACCACAGCATTGAAACATTTGAAAATATTTTTTTTCCCTTTTCTCCCTCATTTAGTTGCGGTTAGCTGCACCTATTACTTAGACCCCCCCCCCTTTCACAAGATGCTACCGAGCTGGCAGGTTGGCAGACGTGGCAGAAGTACACGAGTTCCTTACTCAAGTGAAAGTAGGATTTATGTTTTTTTTTTTAGTCAATTTAAAGTGTAAAAATATATGTAATTCGATTTTTGAAACAGGGTAGTCTTTACTGAGTGTTATTAGATGTACACAACCACAATATTAATTGCAAATAATGGTTTATACTACATCTGTGTGCATCATCTGCAAGGGTTCTTTAGTAAAGGGAATGGTACTACTTAGAACCACAAGTTCCACATAGAACCATTTCATGCTTAAATGGTTCTGTGTTGTAAAATGGTTCTTCAGACTGATGCAAAATGTGTTGCATATATATATTGATGATGTAAGAACCTGTTTGTTTAAACTGAGGGGCTGGCAATTTATGTTCTTATCTAAAACTAGGCTGGTCAGCTAGCTAACAGGCTAAAGGATAGCCAACAGCCTAAACAACTCCATCATTAATATCACAGGCTTAAATTAAAGTACTTATGAAATGATTAACTCTAAAACGGCAATATAAAAGTCTAAAAATGTCACTTGAATGGCTTACATGCTTCAAATGTTCAAATTTCAGTCAGAAGCAGCATCAAACCCAGGCAGAATCCCAAACAGCTTCATACTCCCTAAACAGTGTGCTGGCTATGAAAGTTTAGAAATTATAGCCTCTACAGCCAAATAGTGCATCATTTATCGAGTATGGATGTTGCTGAATCCCAAATGACTATTTCTTAGCTATATTTTGCATTGTTGGGGTGCAGCATCCCGTACTTAAATTTCTACGTAGTGCACTATGTAGGGTGCAGGGAGCCGCTTGAGATTCAGCCCCCGCACGAGAAGAGGGGCGCCGCTGGATTGGTGCTAAATAAGACTTGCAGTGGTAATTTGTTGACCAAAAAGTGCAAAGCCTTTGCATTAAACAGTGCTGTGTTGTCATATGTTCATTGTTATATGACTAAAAGTAAAAAAAAAAATCATAAAATGGCCGCAGTACACAGCGATAAGTGACTGAATGTTTGCCTCATTCAGCGGTCCATGGTTGCTTAGCAAAGCAACTACATTTCTTGTTGGAATACTTGTTTATGTTGACTATTATTAATAATGACCTAAATTATTTTCTGAAAAATTGTGTATTTTATCATATCTTATGTTGGCCACCATTTAATAAAAGCAATAAGCCATGGAGGCTGTGCATTACTGCAATTTTATCACAGGGAAGGGAGTTTTAGACACTCTGCTTTGCATCGTGCCTAAAAACACATGATAAAATTGCAATAACGCTCAGCCTCAAGTGGCTTATTACTTTAATATGTACATACATGTATATAGATTTTCCCTCAATATGTTCAGGTTGGCAAACAAACAATAAGTGTGCATTCAGTTGTGCAGAAGTGCAGAAGTGTGCTCTCTGTATTTATTTTCACAACTGGGGGCTCCCAAAGTTTTGCACACAACTGTAAATATGAAACAGCACTACTATTGTTTACTGTTCTAAACAGTCTAAACATGTGTTATTCTGGCATGTGCTTTACAAGGAGACTGCAGCAATAGAGCTGTTCACTTCCACCAGCTTATTTATTTATTTATTTAATATTTATTCAAAAATGGTAATTGCACACAGTTACTGGAATTGTTCAGGTAATATTATCTTTGCAATTTATATCATTAAAACTGGTCTCATTGCTAGTAGGAGCTCATCTCTGCTGTACAACATCAATCGGGATAATTAAAGCTGAATTAATACTGAGCCAAGAGGCCTGAGGCTGCACCAAATTAGACACGTTTAATACTCGTTTATAATGCATGGGCTATACAGCCTGGCAGCGCAGATCAGATGCCTGTGTGTTATTTTGCCGTGGGTGGATGTGCATGCAGTGCGATGTTTTTTACTCTGGTTTTGGTGACGATAGCAGTGCTGTGATTTATGCATAGTGGGCTGATGTTTACACAAACACCTGATTTACTCGCTCCATTCCAGCGCTTCAGGACGGGATGGAGAAAATAGAGGCTGCTGGCAGGAATAAACCCTCACTTTACACCAGGGTCCAACCTACATATATCGTTTAACTGATTTTAAGGTTCCACATATTTATCAGCATCAGTGCAAATGCTGCCAAAAACTTCTACCAGACATTCTGGGATGTGATGCTGTTTTGAACAACATAAAGGAACAAAAAAAGACCCTCAATATAAGATATAAGAGTCCAATATAAGATTTTGATTAGTAAGATTTTTCTGGTGTTTCTGTTGTTTGAATTGAAGAACTTTGATAATTGACAATCATTGGCATTATCATTAACATTACCATTGGCATTAGTAAATCTATCTAGAAACAACATGAAGATGATAATCCTGAATCGAAATTAGCAAATCTGTTCAGGACCAACATGAAGATGATCGTCTTCAATCAATATTAGTAAATGTATCAAGCATGAGCATTAAGAAAATGGTCCTGAATCAACACACATAAATATCGCTGCTGGCGGAACAAAACCTTGTATCTCCGGGCTCCCGAGTGGCGCAACAGTTCCAAAAGTGTTGGCCCTATCATCAGGAGATCGCGAGTTCGATCCCTGGTGATGCTACAGCCATCCGTAGCCAGGAGTCCAAGAGAGCACAATTGGCTTCGCTCTCTCTGGGTGGGTAGGATGGCCCCCCTTCTCCCCCCATCACTCAACGCGATGCTAGTCAGCGCAGGCGTCTGTTAGCTGACGTAACAGATCTGGCGGTTGCCGCTTTCCTCCGAGCGCGTTCAGCTGTTCAATGACGTTGCGTGAGCGGCAGTTCGAAAAGAAGCGGTGGCTTCACGTGTCTCGGAGGAAGCCTGTGTTAGCCTTCACCCTCCTGGCATTGGTAGTATCGTGTGATTGGGGGAGTCCTAACTAGCGGGTGGAATTGGAGATGACTAAATTGGGGAGAAAAATTGGGTAAAAAAAAACAAAAAAACAAAAAACTTGTATCTCCAAAATGGTATCTTTACAAGAGAAGGAAAAAACCTACTTTACTTTTAATGTAAGTCAATGGAACCACATTTACCAAGTCATTTTGGGCCATTTCTGTTGGTCCATTCATCATGAAATTTACACACAATGTAAAGAGTAAGGCATTCTGTTTTCAAATTATGTCAAAAACTGAAAAATGGAGATACAAGGTTTTGTTCCGACAGCAGCGATATATTCATAATCAACATGAAGATGATGGTTCAAAACAACATCAGTAAATCTGTTCAGGATCAACATCAAGATGATGGTCCTAAATCAACTTTAGTAAACTGACCAAACATTAACATGATGATGATGTTCTTTAATCAACATAAGTAAATATATCCAGGACCAACTTCAAGATGATGTTCCTAAATCAACATAAGTAAATCTATCCTGAATCAGCATTAGTAAATCTGTCCAGGATCAACATCAAGATGATGTTCCTAAATCAACATTAGCAAATCTATCCAGGATCAACATCAAGATGTGTCAAAATCTGCGGCACACTCAAGGAGAAGGGACTACTCCGAAGATGACCCTGGATTAACACTGCTACTGAGAGTCAAGATTACATTTTTGGGAACTGAAATGTCTTATCTTTCTACAAAATTGAATGTTTTGAAGGTGCTTTTTAAATGACTCAGTTTATGTGAACTAGCTACATATACAAACTACAGAGAGTTTCTTAGGGGCTGCATGGTTGACTGCAGCTAAAAATAATTAAATTAACAATTCTGCTTAATTTTATTGATTCAAATGCTCAAAGCAACTAATGCACTTAAATGATTTTCAAGTGCCTCGGGGAAGATGTCTTACTTGAGGAAAGTTCTCTTCACTGTGATGGAAAAGCTAGGAACAAGTAAACTGTCAGTCATTTAAAAAGCCCCAGTTTTAAAAGGCAGTAAATTGTGTTATCTTACTGAGAGAAGCTGCTACATTTAGTAGTAGTACTATCTCTCGAAAGACAACGGCCCAGCAGAGTAATCTTAACACAACAACATTAATCAAGTCCTTCAAGCTGTGCCATTAGTGTGGCTCTTCTCTCCTGCAGTCAGCAGATTCATTAAAAGCAAAAGGGCGTCTGGCATTTATACATGCATGCACTGTCTGCTAGTCTATACTTAGCAGTGAGTAAATAAAACCGCGGTTTAAAAAGGCAGAGAGTGCATTGTGCAGTGCTGAATCACTGAGTGTCGTCATTTCTCTCTGAATACACTTCACCCATCAGGCCAAGAAATCCAATCAAAAAGCAAACATGGAGCAATTTCTCTGACCAAGCAGTTTTCACATGACTAATCTACTGGAGCAAAGCCATAAAGTTTCTATTAATATCATGCTTATATGCTACCAGCAGCATAGTCAAGTCATTCTGTGTCAAACTGTGCTTTAACTCAGTAATACATTTACAGTGATTCATATTATGCTAACTGCAAGTTTGATACGGCCTCATTTCACAAGACATTCCAGAGTAATAAAGCCATAGTTTGGTGAAAAATCTGATTTATCCAGTTGGTAATGGTTTCTTTTATAGGCCCTAAAAGGTTCATTAGACACTTCTATAAGAATAGCTCAAACAGTTCGCATTGACGTCCCTGTAGTTATTAAATAATAAGCCTTACCATGTAATAAACCTGGGATTTTAAGGGGGTAAGTTCTAGATCTAGACTAGGCAAGTGTGAGAAACAAACTCCAAAGTACTAGATAATTCTTGTGGGTAGTAAAAGAGTAAGTTCTGAGTTTTAGGTTTGAGGTTAAACCCCTTAAAATCCTAGGATTATTTCATACTAAGGCTTATTACTCAGTAACTACAGGGACTTAACTGCAAACTGGTGGGGCTATTCTTAGGTTATAAAAGTGTACAATTTTGGGCCTGCCAGTGGGCCCTGGCCATTTAAGGGGTTAACTAAATTAAACTGAAATGCCTAATAGGTTTTAGGGATTAACCGAGTAAGTGTGGGGTACAATCTCTTAAGTGCTGCGTAATCATTTTGAGTAAAATGGTGGTACCAAGTACCAAGACAGTCTTGGCAGTTGAATTGCACTGAAATGGCCACACTGCAAAATATTATTCAATGCTTTAACTTAACAAAACAAGTAACCTGGTTGTCTTAAAATACTGAATGACTAATATGAAAAATATGATGGGTAAAAATCCTCTGCTGAAGTAGAGATCCACCCTCATCTAAACAGACTCAATTTCATTAAGAAGCAGCTCTGTAAGCTTTACATTTTAATTTATCCATTCATTCATTCATTCATCACCTGACCTGGTTATCCTCCTGGGTCATGGGGAGTACTGGAGCCTATCCCAGCGCTCATTGGGCAGAAGGCAGGAAAAGGTCGCCAGTCCATTGCAGGGTAGACATACACATTCACACACACACTCACACATAGGGGCAATTTTGTATTACCATTTGGCCTGACTGCATGTCTTTGGACTGTGGAAAGAAACCCATGCAGACATGGGGAGAACATACAAACTCCACATAGAAAGGATCCTGGTTGCACAGCCAGGGAATCGAACCCAGGCCCTTCTTGTTGTGAGGGAACAATGCAACCCATGGTGCCACTGTATCAGCCCATTTTATTTTTAATTTCATTTTGAGGTGGCTGTTTCTAGTGCATCAAGCAGCATCAGCTGTTCCTGATTTTTTTCAGTGACAGGAATAATGACAGGCCTTTTAAATGATATTTAATGTGACTGGATGTCTCCTTCTAAATAAAAAGGACTACTGGATTTTGCCTGGTACACTTAGTACATATTTGTGTATTAGTATTAGTAATAAGTAATTTGCACTGGATTACTTTTTGAGTAACCACTCCAGCACTGGTAGCACACAGGCTAAGTAGAGGTTGTGTGTTCATGTGCGTGAGTGAAAGCTGTTTAAATGAAGAGACAGGGCAGTAAATCGGCGTGTCTGTGACGGGGCTGAACACCTGAGGCCTGACTGAAGGGGAGCGGACGGTAATCACAGTGACACACAGCTGCAGGACCAAAACACAGGCATGTACACACAGCTTTACACTGATCTGACCGACACACATCAGCAGAACACCAACCAAGGAGCACTTTATGCCAGCTTATGAGTGCAGTGGCAAAACATGCCCCCATAACACACTGCAGTACATCATTATGAGAGAACTTCTATACATCAATGTGGATTAACATTACTACTGAAAAAACACAGGAAGACTGTTAAAAACAGAGAGAGAGAGAGACAGAGAGAGAGAGAGAGAGAGAAAGAGAGAGAAAGAGGGACAAAGAGAAAGTCAGAGGTGAGAGAAACAAAAGGCAGAATGAACAGACAAACAGAAAGAAAGAGACAGAGAGAGAGGGGGGAAGAAAAAGAAGGTGAGAGAAAAGAGAGGAAGAGAGAGAGAGAAAGGAAAGAAAAAGAAAGTGAAAAAAGAGGAAGAGAGAGGGAGTCAAAGAGGGACAAAGAGAAAGGCAGAAGTGAGAGAAAGAAAAGAAAGAATAAACAGAAAAAGAGACAGAAAGAGAGAGATGGGTAAGAAAAAGAAAGTGAGAGAAAAGAGAGAGGAAGAGAGAAAGAGAGACTGACAAAATGATAGAGGAAACAGAGAAACAGAATGTAAAGAGAAAGGGAGAGAGAACGAAAGAAAAGCGAAATAAAGTGGGAGAAAGAAAAGAGAATAACAGAGAGAGGGAGGGGCTGAGGGAGAAAAAAGAAAAAAATCAAGTGATAAAGAAAAAAAGAGGGGGGAGAAAGAGAAATAGACAGAGAAGAGAGAGAGAGAGAGAGAGAGAGAGAGAGAGAGAGAGAGTGAAAGAGAAAAAGACAGAAAAAAGAGAAAAAGAAAAAGTGAGAGAAAGATGGGGAAAGAAGAAACAGTAACAGAGATAGAGTCAAAGACAAAGGACAAAGACAAAGAGAAAAAATGAGGCAAAAAGTGAGAAAGAAAAGAGAGCGAGAGAGAGAGAGAGAGAGAGAGAGAGAGAGAGAGGGGCTGATAAAATTAGAGAGAAAACAGAGAAGTAGAGAACATAAAGAGAAAGAGAGAAAGAAAGAGAAAGTGAAAGAAAGAAGAGAGAAAGAGAGAGAGAGAGAGAAAAAGAGAGAGAGAGATAGAGAGAGAGAGAGAGAGAGAGAGAGGTGTGGATATAAAGACAGGAGAGTTATTGGAGATGAATGCTGGATTATGAGCTAAATGTGTGGATATTTCAGCTTTAGGGTGATAAATGGAGCTCTGTGCTCAGAGCTGTCTGGAAGTATGTAAAAAAAACCCAACTCTCCCAGACATTCTATATCCAGAACCATGACACTGCATATTAATAGCCTATTAGAACAGTAATTATAAGATGGGTATTTTTAGTATATCACATTAATAAGTCAAGAGGGTTAATGTTCATGTTCAAGAGGGGAAAAATCAATATTAATGTGTAAGAAAAATGATGGAATGAAAGGGAAAATATAGATGTGATAATGAAGACATAGAGGAAAAAGCATGACAGAATGGCGAGAGGAAAAGAAGAAAAAAGAGCGGCAAACAGAGTTACAATAGACGTCTCACAAATGTAGATCATATCATTTGGCTATTACTGTCATTACAATTAATGTTATTGTTAATTAACCAGTAAACTACACGACTATGACTTTCGTTTGTAATCTTAAAGTGACGGTTTGATCAAAAATCAAAAACATAGGTGGCACAGCTGAAAACTATAGCAGAAGAATTCTGTCCTCATATTAGTCTTGTGGGGCCCAATGTGACCTCATAACAAGAACATCTGAATATCTGAAGAGAATACCTATGGACTCCAAATCCCAGAACTCCCTGGGAGATAACGTGACTGTGGCACCATCACCACCAACCAATCGTTGTTCAGCTTCACCTCAATACCCGGGCTCTAGTTTAGTTCATCACAACATATTGCTTCTATTTCTTGAGCTACTGAGCGTTTTTTTCTGTACATTGTTTCACTGTTGACCAGACTTGATTTCTGTATTTTCTGACTTTTTTGCTCCCTTTGGACATGTTCACCTGAAATTTTGTCATTTGTTAGGTTTGTCTCTTTGTGTATACGATCTGTCCTGGTTCTGACCTATGCCTTTGGAAAGTCCTCTGAACAGTAAAGCTTCTTTTGATTGTTTTTACCACGAGCGTTTGACTGATTCTTTCCCTTTACAAGTTAGATCTCTTGGTTTCGACCCTTGCTTGTTTATGACTACAATTTCACCTGCTGTTTAACAAGTTGGCCTCAGACATGTTTTCTCGTTACAAGATACATTTAGCCCTGATAGTCGTTACTTTTGTCCACATTTATAGTACGTCATTATGTCATACATTGTCCGAAACTACATAAGGGTGTCTATTTGAGATTACTTAACAGCTGGACAAGTGTGAAGATTTAGGCATGCAGTTAGCACAATGCTAATTGGTGTACACGAGTTTCTAGCTTTTACTTGTCAGCTACATTAGTCTCCCAGCTCCAGTACAAAATACTGGAGAAAAAATACTGAAAAATAAAAAAAGATACCAAGCATGTCTTGCTACCCAGTAACTGCTACAAAACTAATATAAAAGTTATGTAGTTGTAAGAGTCAGGAACTCAAGTGTGGGCCACATATGGGCCGCTAGGTTTTAAAGGGTTAATTAATTCTTACTGATGACTCTGTGTGGGCTGTAGGCAGGTATGTATGCAAGTGTGTGTATCTGTTAGACTGACCGATGCACTCCACTGTTACACAGGAGGATGTGTGCGGCCCCCAGGCGACTGCAGAGCTCTGAAGCCACAGAGATCAGCCCGACCCCGGATGCTCCGCACGCAGCTGACCGCCCACAGCACACAAAGCCCTCCATCAACCTATAGAGTTCATCGAGAGCATTAAGAGGACGCAGGAGCTGCAGAGAGAGGCAGGGGGAGAAAGTTAGTGACCGAAAACTCATGAGGCAGGATCACTTAAAACTTCTGTCTATATTGCCTCTGTTCTGCTCAGAGACACATGCACGTTCATGCACATTTGTTTTTAGGTCTTGTCATACATACAGTAGTATGCATAAATTCCTTCATTCAAATTGCGTTTTATTGATTTTCTAAGTGAAAATAAGTTAACACATCCTCTAAAGACAACACACTTAAATGTGGCATTTTTCTGCAAATTTTAGTGCACAATTTCTTCTTATTTGCCGAGTTTAATTTTGCACAAAACACATTTTGTTTTTGTGCCCAATATGCTAAATTCAGCAAATGAAGAGAATTTTTTCAAATTAAAATGTGCAGAAGTGTGTTCACTGTAGAGGATGTGTTCACTTATTTTCACTCAGAAAGTCAATAAAATATGATATTTAAGCAGTGGTGCCCAAACTTTTGCTTAAGACTTGATGAAAACATAATTAAAACAAGAGATTTTAAAAGAGAAGAAATGAATCATTAAATTACAAATCAAATTAAAAATTAAATTAGGTTAACAGTATGCCATCACAGGAGAGACTAATAATAATAATAATAATAATAATAATGATTATTATTATTATTATATAATATGCCCCACTGTATTATTTACAGTACTGTGCAAAGGTTTTAGTCAGCTGAGAAAATCAGAATTAAAAAGCTTTATCTGGGTAGTAAGAACTCAATTACAATACAATGTAATAATTACAAATAATATTAATACAAAGAAGTATGTAAATTTTACGTCTTGGTGTTTTATGTATGTCAATGTGTTCATTTATTTAATCCATATTTAATTTAGTTCATTTATTATTGCCATTTCCACACCTCTCCTCCATGAAGCACAGCATTAATTGTAGTTATCATCCAATATCTGGTTTGGCTGATCAATACTTCATTAAATCAAGTGTGCTTGTGATGGAACTTAACAAATCCATGTGATGGCTGGAGGCGCTGGGGAGAAATGTGGAACCAAACTTTGTTTTTTCAGACCAGCTTTTTTTTTCAAAATAGGAAATTATTGTTACTTTTCACTGTATTTATGTTTTTTTGTATTTAAACCTAAACCTAACCCTAATCCTAACCTCAGGAACCAAAAAAATAGTTTCTACTCTTCAGGTCTAAAACAATTAACATGGAGCTTTTCTAAAATGTTGATCTTGTAGGTTAGTATTTTTTCTTGTTTTTACAAAGTCAGGATATATTTGTATCAGAACAAACACATGTAAACACACTTTCTTGTCATATATGACATATTAACCCACCAGCTGTGTATCACAGTGCAGCAGCACTGGATCAGCTTCTGCACAGAAAGCTCAGATGTGTGTCAGGCAGAGTAAATACACACCTTGTCTATGAAAGCAGCCTTGGGAGCTGAGCTCGGGGTCAGGTTAGACTTATCCAGATAAAAGGCCCTGTGGAGGATCAACACAGGCATGTTAGAGTCAGCAGAACACAAACACAGACTTAGACAGATATAGAGGTCATGGCTATTGAACAGGATTTGAATGGGCATGTCTTTGAAGGCTGGAGGCTGCAGAACTGTATAGATTCTTTAGTGTCTGTGAAAGGCCTGTGAAAGAAACTGAGCTACTGGGCTCCACTCCAACAGAAACTGAGCACATTTACTCTGGGAATTAATCCAAGACTGATCTCTAAAGTCCTCCGTCAGCTGCAGTTCCACACACTAACACTGAGGGCAGTATGAGCTGGATGTTTTAACTAATGGTCAGGTTACTTACAGGCCATCCCAAAGTGATACACTTTACAGTTTTAGCCATTCTAGCATTAGTAGTAGGCCATTAGTATTACATCATTTATCTAAGGTTAAGGCCTTGTGTCTCATCCACCAGTGCTGCATGATATGGACAAAATACCCTGCTGTGATTATACTGTTACATGCAGTTAGCTGTATGCAAAAGTTTGGGCACACCCATTTTGTTTTGTTTTATTAAGTGAAAAGAAGTAAATACAACCTCTGTTGCAAACTATTTTAAAATATAAGTCTTTCTATGATTGCTTTAGGAATTCACACACACTCTTCTTTATTGTTCTTGGCTTGCATGCATGTTTAAGATCAGAACAGACTTTCAATGATGTTCAAGTCAAGCGACTGTGAGGGCCATTCCAAAAGCTTCAGCTCACGTTTCTTGTAGTTGTCCATGGATTATGAGTTATGTTTTGGATCATTGTCCTGTTATATATGCCATTCTCTTTTCAGGTTTGTTACTTGTCTGATAAAACTACATTTGCTTCCAGAATTTGCAGATATTTAGCGTTCATTCTTCCATCTACTCGTGCAATGTTTCCTGTGCCACTGACTGCCACCTAACCCAGACCTACCAACCTTGGGAAAATATCAGTCACTTCCCCACTCACTGCCATGTCATCAAGTTTGGTTATTCAACGGTTACAGGTTTGGCTGCAATAATAATTATGAATACAGTATAGTGAAAAGTCATGTTTAACAATCTGCAACACACAGATAATAAAACTTAACATTTCTTTGCTAACAGCAATGCCTGCTGAACAAGCAAGCTAGCTTGCACATTACATAACGTTATGGTAACGTTATTGTTAGGGTAACATTAGGGTAACTATCAACGTTACATCTTTTCCTATTTAAAGGTTGGCAGGTCTGTGTTAAGTTAATTCAATACAGAATTTCAACTTTCCACACCCACTCCAGACTATTTACCACTGCAAAAGAGTTAAAAGCACTGTCCTCCTTTGTGGAACCAGCCAGATGCAGTGGGGAGGGTGAATGATAAAACTATTTATTAATATTTACTATCGATTTGCAGTCTCTTGAAATTATCGACATTACGCATTTGTTATCCTCGGGAAGTGAACCCAGAGTTGAACTCTTATTCTTTTGGTTTAAAGAAAGGCTAGATGCTGCTGCCTTTGCTGTTAGATTTGAGTACTGCACATGTACAATTGAACTCACATGTATCACCAGCTTTTTGTGCAGTTTAGAGTGACAAATTGCATCAGCCAAGTCTGGAGTCAAAATTCGTACCTGCCACGCAAAATACATAAAGGGTGGCAGATCTGCTAACCCCAAAGCATAATATAACCACCCTCGTGCTTAACAGTTGGCAAGTTGTTCTTTTCATCAAATGCTGCTCCTTTTTTCTCCAAACATACCTTCGGCGATAATAGCCAACGATTTCTATTTTTATTTCATCAGTCCACAGCACTTGTTTCCATAGATGTAGATGCAGTTTTGCATATGTAAGACATTGCCTTTTGTTATAAGGTTGTGTCTCATTCGTTTCACTTCAAAAATAATAAAAAAAAATAATTTGGCCAGAGGTGCACAAACCATTGTATACAACTATATTGTAATTCAAGTCAAGTCAAGTCAAATTTATTTATATAGCGCCTTTTACAACAGATGTTGTCACAAAGCAGCTTTACAAAGAATCCGGGTCCACGCCCCCAGTGAAGGGGGGGGGGTAGAGGGGAGGGGGGATGAGAGGGACATAGTTAGAAAAACAAATTAACCAAAAGCTCGATTAAACAGGTAAGTTTTTAGCCTAGATTTAAAGATAGAGGCTGTGTCTGAGTCCCGAACACAGACTGGTAGGTTATTCCAAAGCTGGGGGGCTTTGTATGAAAAGGCTCTTCCCCCTGACGTAACTTTATTTATTCTGGGTACTAATAATGAGCCCGCACCTTGTGATCTAAGTGGGCGTGTCGGTTGATAATAGGAAATAAGGTCACTGAGGTACTGAGGAGCAAGGCCATTCAGAGCTTTATATGTTAGTAGAAGAATTTTGTACTCAATGCGGAATTTAACTGGCAACCAATGTAAGGTACACAAAATTGGGCTAATGTGGTCGAATTTCCTGGTTTTGGTGAGAACTCTGGCTGCAGCGTTCTGGACTAACTGAAGCTTGTTAAGGTTTTGGCTGGAACAGCCAGAAAGCAGAGCGTTACAGTAATCTAACCTGGACGTGATGAAGGCGTGAACTAACGTTTCTGCATCCTGTAGCGACAGTGCATTTCTTAATTTAGCGATGTTACGCAGGTGGAGGAAAGCTATTCTGGTAATATTGGTAATATGCTCATCGAAGGCCAGACTGGGATCAATCGTGACACCAAGGCTTTTTACAGATGTGCCTGGTGCAATTGAGAAACTATCGAGATTAAGAGTAATTTCAGTCTTTAATGTCTTTGACACAGTCCTCTATCTTATTAAGTTCAGTTTTGTCCTCTGGTTTAGCTGAAATTCAAAATATAACATGGCTAAAGATCTTCCAGCATTATCTGGACTAAAATTATTTATGTTTTTTGGATCATATGGATATTTTGATTTAGCAAACGCCCATAAAACGTATGAGAATTGGTCAGAATGCTCACAGCATGCAATCCTATCAAGCCTCATCTATTGCCAGCAATCTTTTCAGAATGTTTGTCTTAAGCGTCTTCAACTGATTAAAATCTGCACTGATTATATGGTGTGAGTACTTGTCCATGTTAGTCACAGTAAAATGGATAAGTACTGGACCTGATTGTCTGCTACCATGTTTTCTATCACTATAGAATTTTGGCTTTCGTATAGCTATTAAAGGCCTCTTGCTCTCATTCAAACAGCTCTTGGATTTTTGTTACAGTGGGGACCATCAAAGGGAACTGGAGCTTTACACTTTGCAGTTGCTTATGTTAGTTTGGTGCTCGTTTATTCATCTGCCGAAAGTATTGTTTTAAAAGCCATTTAAATGCTACACTTGGGCTTCAGCCTGCACTACTACAGACTGTTTGAAGAGTCAAATTAGGAAAATGCATTAATAACATTGTTTTTTTTTGTCACATTAACCTTGACTTTGGCAGCCCTGATAGCATTCCTGTTGCTGACGCAAAATCAATATCTTGCATATATCATGTAATTGCTGGTTTTGTAATAAAATTGTCATAAAAAGCTTTGCCATGAACTGTACAAACTTTATTCTGAGAGTTTCTAACTCTGGCTGTGTTATCTGCCCAGACAGCATTGAAGCTCTGACCTCAGTCTGGAGAAATGGTCCAAATCAAATGAGAAAAACTTCAGTACACAACAGCTTTATCTTCAGTATGCAGCATCTTCTAGATGCGTTATCACCGGCGTCCTTCATCCATTCTCTTATCCTCTCTCTGCCCTGTTTGCCCTCTGAGTGTGTTTTAATCAGAACTTTACAACTCTGCATGCTTTAACCCTTCCCCAGGAGAAGCTCTGAGCTGAGTTAACAACCCGTGTAATCAGTTCAGACGAGCCTCATTATTACTAAGATACCTCAGATAAGGAAATAAACTCCTCATCTGCATCATATACTGCATCTTCCTTCCATAAGCTGTTTGGAAGCTTGGAACTGTTTTGTAACAGAGGCACAGAATGTTATTTAATATTTAATGCTAAAATATTCAGCTTTAATATTTTATTGTTCAGTTATGGTTAGAAATGACTCCTGGTGGCCCAAAGAGTTTAATACTTGTAAACAGTGGGGTCTAAAAGTGAGACTATATTAGAGAAATTTGTATTTTTTCATTTAAACCTGGAAATAGACACAGAGTTTTGAAATACACACATATGTATATATATATATATATATATATATATATATATATGTATATATATGTACACACACACATATGTACACACACAGCTTGTAATTGCAAGACACTGAATTGAAAGAGAAGCCTTAAACTAATACATACTGAGTAACCTACTGAAAATTAAGTAGTTGTTAGTGTAAATGAGTGCGATGCACCTTAACAATTAAATCATCAAAATCTAGCTGATTTTAAATAAAGCGCATTATCTATCTATGCTATATTGGTTACCTTGGATCAAGTAGAACTGCAGTGGAGAAGAGTCAGAGAACCCCATCTGTAAGCATATTTCATAGTTTTGATCCTTGCTTCTCATTTGTTTCCTTTAACAACAGATTCTGTAGCACACAGATCGCTGGTATCACATCTGAGCCTATTGCTTCCAAGGAGCTCACGTTTTGAGTTTAACATCTTGTTGGAGTCTTTTTGGCTAGTGGGCTGGTTGAGCTGCAGTTGAATGTAGACTAAAGCCAGTCACACACTGTGCAACTTTCGAAATCTTGTTCTTTGGTGACTCGCACTGTACGTTTGAATAAATCATTGTGTATGGACAAAGTCTACAATGTTTATGCTCACTGTATAAATATCAGTCTGACTGACATGCTACAGGAAACACAGCCACTACAAAAAGCTTTGTCTATGGACATTTATCAATAAAGCTGTTTCATAATAACACAGTGCACATCCAAGTACTGAGCAAGCATGTTGAGAAACTGTGCCATTAACTGTGCACTGAAACTAAAACCAGGCTGTGATGTACATGGGTCTCTCTAAAACCTATTGTACAAATATAATTTAAAAAATCAACATATTAATGTTT